TATGTTCTTTCAGATGTCCTGAAATGCGCCACAAAGTCTCCTGAAACATGAACTCTTTGCTGTACTGAAATGTAGCCATATTGAGTCATTTCAGGTTCATTTCAGGCTACACAAAATTTATCATTTTCCTGCACCGCAAATGGCTACAAAAGTGGTAGCAAATCTATCATTTTGGGACACCAGAAAGCCCCGGTTAAGCCTTCGAAAATGAAACAGTTTTGATGGCTTGACTAGGACATTTCAGGTGATCTAAAATTAGCTCATGCCCGTAGTGATAGGTGTTTGAACTGTGAAACCTGCTAACGCTGACCCGGTGACTTTCCTGATATGGCTGGAAGCAGTCCCGTATAACTTAAGGGCCGCAAAGTCGTCGCATCTGCGCCTTGTTTCTGATCTCCACTGACCGCATTTTACACTGCTACACCATGGAGCAGAAGCTAGCTAGGATTGCCGACGTTTCAGAGAAAGAGTTCGATTTCATTGTCATCGGTGCGTTGCACATCGTTCTCGCCACATGCTCTCATATGTCTCATCAGTATGCTGCAGGCGGCGGTGTATGTATTCAAATACGAAGTTCTCGCAGTGTGCTGCTCATGTCCCGTTTATCAGACCGCAGGCTGCGTTGTGGCAGCCAGGCTGAGCGAAAACCCGAACATGTCTGTCGCTTTGTTGGAGGCAGGCCCCGCCCACCTCGACGACCCGATGATTTGTATGTATATATTGCCTAAGTTTTCGCCGCTCACCAACGAAATATCTTCAGCTGACCCTACTCAATGGCCTAAGACCCTCATAGACCCCGAATACAACTGGGGGTACCTCACAACGCCACAACCAGGCCTACACGGGGAGCCCACGATGTTCCCCAGGCACGTCATATCATCGTCTAGTCAAGGAAGCCCTTGTCTGACTATTCACACGCCGAACAGAGGGCGTGGTCTCGGCGGTACGTCCCAAATCAATGGGCTAGCATGGAATCTGCCACAGCGTGAAGAGATAGATGGTATGCTTCCAAACGCGTCGAGTTGATTCAATAAGCCTGACCACCGGACTGCCACACTAGCCGTGTGCGAACTTGGCAACGAGGGCTGGAATTGGGAGAGCTTTCACAAGTATGCGAAGAAAGCGCAACGATTCTGCCCGCCAGACCCAAACGAGCGGAGCGAGTTCAAGAATCTGTACAAGTCAGACGCCGTGGGGCATGACGGCCCGATTCCGCTCTCGTTCGGACGGGACAGCTGTGGCGCCGACGCTGCCTGGCAACGCGTGCGTCTTGCAGTCGTGGTCTGGCCCAGAGATGCACCGCTGATCGCTGCCCTGTAGTCTCTTGCAGAGAATGGCGTCGATACGATAAGCACGGCGCTCGACGGCAATGTCACTGGGACGTGGAAGAGCGTCTCGAGTGTGGACCCCGAGAGCCTGGAACGTGTGTATGCCGTCAATGTATGTAGCCGATCCGCCCTTTGTCGCGTCTCGAGTGCTGAATGTGCGTGCCTGTAGGGCTACCTCTATCCTGTGCTCGATCGTCCGAACCTCAAAGTCCTGCCGGATGCGTATGTGTACAAGATCATCACCTCCAAACACGGAGACGAGGTGGTCGCAACTGCGGTCGAGTTCGAACATGGTGAGCAGGTACACAAGGTTTATGCGCGCAAGGAGGTCATTGTCTCTGCTGGGTACGTATTCCCGAAATCGTGGCACTTTCTGTACGTTGACATTACCTTGCAGCGCTGTGAAGTCACCACAGGTATTGGAACTCAGTGGCATTGGTGACCGGAATATCCTCGAGCCTCTAGGCATTCCTGTTCAGCTGGACTTGCCTTCAGTAGGCACGAACGTGCAGGAACATATTACAATGGCCAACAGCCTGATTAGTCAGCTTTTCACTTTATGTCCGTTCGATGCGATGCTAATGTTCTTTGCAGAGATGGTTGAAGACCGCGGCCTGGTCACATCTGACATGCTCAATAACGAGGAGTTTGCCGAAAAACTCCGAGTGGAATTGTGAGTTTAATGCGCTAGCCTATAGGTCCACAGTTGTGAAAGCTTCTCGTAGCGGTCTGAAGGATCCCTTTCGCCTTATTCTGGACGGCCTCTCATATGTGCCCATCCAGATCGCTTCAGAACGCGCTGAGCAGCTCGCGCAGAAGCAGCGTGCCAAGATCGCAAACGGCAACTACCCTCCCGGACTCAAGGCGTCGTATGAGAAGCAGCTCGAGCTGCTTGCGAACCCCAAGGTACCCGACTTCGAGATCATGTTCCTGCCGTACTCGATCCTTGGGCCGGCGCCGGAGTCCGACAAGCCTTACCTTACCCTCTTTCTGATCGTTGGTCGGCCATTCACGCGCGGGACGATCCACGTCCAGTCTGCTGACCCGAAGGCGTGGCCGGCGATCGATCCGCGCTATTACGAGGAGGACATCGATCTGGACGTCATGGTCGACGCAACCAGGTTTGCTCGCAAGGTGGCCCAGACGGAGCCATTCAAGTCGCTCGTTTTCGAAGAACAGGCCCCCGGGCCGGGTGTGAGCACCGACGAGGAGATGTACGGTACGTGCTCGTCCTCGGCAGTTCTGAGTGAGCAGGTGCTGAGTCGCGACGTACAGCGTTTGTTCGCAAGAACACGTATTCGGGTTTTCGTACGTACCATTAGGTTGGTACGGTGGTGGGCAGCTGACCGCGTCGACCCACATAGACACGGCTGGAAGCATGTCAATGCTGCCTCGCGACAAGGGTGGCGTCGTTGATGCGCGACTCAAAGTATACGGTACCAAGAACATCCGCGTTGTTGACTTGTCTATTCTTCCGATTGAAACGGTCGTTCACCCTCAAGGCACTGTGTACGCGATTGCGGAGATGGGTACGTCTTGGAGCGTCAGGTTTATGTGCCGTGCGGAACTGTGGTCGATTGCTGAAATGTGCCTTTCCAACAGCGTGTGATATCATCAAGCGCGACTATCAGTAGTGTACAGAGCATTTAAGTTGTTCGTACTTCTAGAGCACAGCTTGTATAACTCGTGTATTTACCCACATGCCCTGAAAGTAAGTAATCGGTGTGCAGTCCCTTGATGCCCTTTCGTGCTTGCCGGCATTCAGGCTGGCTTTTGTGGGACGTACCAAAGAACGAACGTTTGAAGGACGTGCAATGGACTCGGTCTACATCTTACGCTAGACCGCGAGGCATGCTCAAGTGGTGGAATCTGCGCATGAAGCTGCCGCACAACGTCGCACAGCTGGCTTTCACACGTCCTAGGATAGCAGACGACGTCTCAAAACCTCAAGGTTTGACATATCGTCGGACTTGGCTGCGCATTCCAAGTTCCCAGGACCATCTCGCATGTCCAGTTTCTCAAATATCTGGCTGGCCGCAATTTGAAACTGAAGTAACGCCAGAGTGGATGAGCTCGTCGCACGGCTCTATGCACTTGGGCGGGCCGCTCCAATATCTCTGGCAGCAAGACATCGACGAATTCGCTGGCACTGCGTCAGGTGACGCTTGTGTGCTTGTACTAGGGCTTCATGTACAGATAATACCTGACCTTCCGGCACGTTTTGGCACACACATCCCGCTGCACGTCTATGGACGACGCAAGTTGACCTCACGGAATCTTCGAAGCGGTCTCCATCATGCACGCGCCCAAGCAAGACGTCCAATACTGAGCACAGTTACACAAGGTGCTTTCGACCACCGCCCACGTCGCATCTACACACATTTCCGACATCCGTTCATTTCATCAGGTACGGCGTCGGGCCATGCGTCTTCAGAAGCTGCTTCAACTCCCCCATCTCCTCCGGGGGGCTCAGCCTGTCCAACGTGCGGTCGATGAGCCCGATCTCCTCGGCCGTCGCGTTGAAGCTCAGGCGGTGTTGATTCACTTTGGAGAGCGGCGTGCTGTCGATCGTCGTCGCGAACTCCTCCTCGAGTTGCGCGCGGATGAGCGACGGCGCGATCGGCGTGTCCGAAAACACGGGCGACGGCTCGCCTTCGATGCCCCCCAGCAGCAGCGCGTACATGACCCGCACGGACCAGGCGTCGCCGGTCTTGAACGCTGAGATGGCCGTGGTCAGGTCAGGTGTGTCTGTGCACGGCATGGAGAATTCGAAGCGCTTGCCTCGGTAGCGGTGCAGGATGAACAGCGCCCTTCTTGACAAGACGAAAGTCACGGGGACGCGCTTTTGTCCGCCGGGAGCCGCGTCGTCTGAAACGAAGAGCTACGCCGTCGAACGTGAACGTCATGTCTGATGGGTCAAAACATAGGGCATGTCACGTACGACATAATCCAGCCGGATGTCTGCCGCCAGACAAGAAATCTGACGGTTGAGGGCGGTCGACCGCCGGAACGACGGCTCCGCTTTCGGCATGAGTTCTTCGGCAGAGTAGAAGCCTTTCGTGTTCGAAAGCTCCTCGATCTCCTGTTCGCTGCGGAGCTTTCCGCAGATCGTCTTGTGCGGGTACGGTTTCCCGTGCTTCCAGTCTTGACGCTGGCACTCCCTGCCACGGCGAGGATGAGTTTTTTCTGGCGCTCTCCCACATGTTTGGGCGGTAGGAAACGGCACTCACGACGAGCAGTAGTATACGAACCGGTTCACCTTGCGGCACGCACTGCAGGTCCGAAGCTTCGCGCCACCTTGCTGCGCACCAGTCGAGGCAGTGCCGCAAGTATGGCAAGGGGTGCCTGAAGGACCTTTCCTGGGGCCCGCTGCTTCTGGGTGGGTCTGCTTGAATGCGATGACAAGTTTCTTCGCTGCATCTGGGGAAAGAGAGGCTGTGATGTGCCGCAAGGCCGTGCGCATCGAGGAGTTGAGGCTGTCCATTGAGACAGGTTTGGTGACCTCGTCGTGTCTTTCGTACTATACGCGCGAAGTTAGGGAAGGGTCTGTGGATATGCAAGCAGAAAGGCTTACGAATACGAGGAATATATCGGTGACGACACGGGTCAAATGATAGGCCCTCCAAAGAGTCCATATTCGCAGAGCTGCCTTGAAGCCGGGAGTGTTGCGCTCGTACGTGGAAAGGTTGCTGACCCGGTCGATGGCAGGATGCGACGGAAGAATCGGTGCGATGTGTCCCGCGTGTATGACATGCCCTGGCAATGTCAGAGTCATCACCAGGTTGAGGTACCCCTGACCGCCATCCGAAGCCAGATGATTGACCGACGTTTCTGGGCACCACTTTCTCTCGGTTTCCGCCTGAGACGGCGGGGCCGACAGCGCGGAGCAGTAAACGCCTTTCTCTATGCAGGCTCTTCGTCGTGCATCAGAGGCTCGCTTCCAGTCGACCTCGAAGCTTTCCCAGACTTGGGCGGCCATCACCGAGAGCTTGACTTGGGTGCCCATGAGATTTGTGGCCACCTGCTCCGTGAACATGACGGAATGGTCTGAGTTTAGCAACGATATAGAGCTGCTTCGGATCAGACGGGAGAGGCTGCCGGACTCGGGTAGACGGTCTGGCGGTTCGTAGTTGCGTTTGAAGTCGTGGTCCCAAGAGGCTTCCCAGGCCTGGAAGGAAGCATGGATGTCCGGTCGAGGGGTTGTCCACACGAAAAGGGCCATCTTAGCTCCACTAGGCTGTTAGTTCGGGGACAGATGGCGGACTAGACACCGATGGCAAAATCGGCAAGGTCACGGTGGACACGAAGACAGCGCTCTGGATGAGTTGATCATCTATCACGGCGCAACCCACGTGGCCGCCACAACGCCAGGCTCGGTCCGTCGCTTTCTTCTCTCTGTGTCCAGCACCACAACATGCTACGCCCGGCCACGCTGGAAACGCCACAGTTTCCTTCGCGTCTCCAGTTGTGCTTGCCACGCCGGACTTGGCCGGATGCGCTCCAGAAGAGGAAAGCTTCGCCTTCTTGTCCGCCTCATCGGCCATGCGAAACTGCCTTGTACGCCGATCGTGGCTGACACGACCGCGGAAGGTCCATGTTCGAGGTCTTCCGGGAAGCTGGCGGTCCAGTCCCAGTCAGCCTCATGTCAGCCGGTGCTCGGCATGTTCCCGACCTCCGAGTCTTGCTTGGCTCCCCTGTCCTTTCACACCAACGACATGGCCGAGCTGGCTCTGACCGACGTGGACGGCGATGTCCTGGTCGATATCTTCCTGCAGCTCTCGGTGAAGGACCTCCTCAGGGTGCGGCAGGTATGGTGGTGCTCGTGCACGTGTTTCGGTAGAGGATCTCTAACGTGCCGCACGCAGACCTGCAGGTATCTGTACGACCTCACTC